AGATAAATGTCTTTCTTCCTTCAGTGGAACTGTAGAGGCCTCCTGTCTAACTACGATGATGTGAGCGATCTTTTAGAGGATCACCGGCCCATTGCATGTTGCTTACAGGAAACGCACCTAAAAACCACCCACACCAATGTTTTAAAACACTTCCAGGTGTTTCGTAGGGACCGTACACATGCAGCTCACGCAGCTGGAGGTGTTGCGGTGGTTGTCCAACGTTCAATTCCTTCTAACGAGGTAGCCCTGCAGACTTCACTTGAGGCGGTGGCTACACGTATTTTGTTAGATCGAATATTTACAGTATGTTCATTGTATGTACCTCCCAATTATCAGTTTTATATGGAGGAGCTAGAAGACCTTGTTAATCAACTTCCTTCACCTTTTTTACTTTTAGGAGATTTTAATGCACACAATCCCCTGTGGGGTAGTGACAGACGGGATTCTAGAGGGGCCCTTGTTGAACGTTTTTTGCTTTCTGCGGGATTGTGCCTGCTGAACACAAATGAATCTACATATTTTAGCTCAGCAACTCACACTTTCACTTCCATTGACCTATCTATTTGTCACCCATCATTATTCCCATTGCTTTCATGGAAGGTCATACCGAATCCTTATGGAAGTGACCACTTTCTCATCATCTTAGAATTTAACCATCTTCCCATGACAGTCCCAACACGCTGTCCTCGTTGGAAATTCGAAAATGCCAACTGGCCTACCTTTAAAGAATCATCTCTTTTTGCATGCACATCTCTTGACGATCTTGATATCAATAAAGCCACTCAACATATCACTCAGCACATTTTACAAGCTGCCATTCTCTCCATCCCCATGACGTCCTCGCATCTGCCCAGGAGACCAAAGCCCTGGTGGAACAAAGATTGCCGTTTGGCCAAAAAAGAACAAAATCGAGCGTGGGGTATATTTAGGCGCTACCCTACAACACACAATCTTATTGAATTTAAGAGAAAAAGGTCCCAGGCGAGGTGGATTAGAAGGCATGCTAAGAAAAAAAGTTTTAGAGGGTACGCTTCTTCAATTAACAGCACTGTATCTGCAAAGGAAGTCTGGGATCGCGTACATAAAATTGACGGCTCTTACCGGGCATTCACTGTCCCACTCTTGAGTCGGAATGGAGTTTGTTCTGCAAGCCTTGAGGAACAGGCCAACATCCTCGGTGAACACTTCGAGTATGTCTCCAGTTCGGAACATTACACCTTAACGTTCCAGCGATACAAGATCAATGCAGAAAAAAAAGCTGTTATCACATCAGGTGGCACGCACGAACCCTACAACACTCTATTTACATTAGACGAACTTCAAATGGCACTTCTTGGTTCCAAACAAACTGCCCCTGGACCAGATGGTATTCATTATCAAATGCTCGAACATCTTCATCCATCCACTATGGAGATAATTTTGTACCTTTTTAATAGAGTTTGGCTCGAGGGCCACTTTCCGTCCTCCTGGAAGACCGCTGTGGTTGTACCAGTGCTTAAGCCCGGCAAAGATCCCTCTTGTGCATCTAGCTACAGACCAATAGCTCTAACTAGCTGTCTTTCCAAGACATTAGAAAGGATGATTAATAAGAGACTCATGTTTTTTCTAGAACGAAACAGCTGCCTTGATAAGTTCCAGTGTGGCTTTCGGTCAGCACGGTCCACTGTCGATCATCTCGTCCGCTTTGAGACCTTCGTACGTGAGGCGTTTGTCAACAGACAACAGTGTCTCTCCATCTTCTTTGATTTGGAAAAAGCATACGACACAGCCTGGCGTTACGGCATTCTGCAATATTTATTCGATCTTGGTTTCCGTGGCCGAATGTTGAGTGCCATACAGAGTTACCTGCAGCACCGTACGTTCCGCGTGAGGCTGGGAAAAACTCTCTCGAGGGAGTTTTTACAGGAGAATGAAGTCCCTCAGGGGGGTGTACTGAGTGTCACTCTTTTTATCGTCAAACTTAATTCCATTGGCCGTGTAATTCCTCCTTCGGTGCAATATTCCTTATATGTTGATGATCTCCAGATCTCCGTTTCATCCTGTAATCTCTCAATTTGTGAACGTCGCGTTCAACTTGCGGTCAATAATTTGGTCAGATGGGCCGATACGAATGGGTTTAAATTTTCTCCCGAAAAAACAGCTTGTGTCAACTTTTCTCGTCGACGTGGTGCTCTTCAGGAACCGTCTTTGAACATGTATGGTTCTCCTATTGTTGTAAAAAATGAGCACAAGTTTTTGGGCCTTGTGTTCGATTCCAAGTTGACTTTCGTTCCACACATTAAGAGATTAAAACTCAAGTGCCTTAAATCTCTAAACATCCTTAAGGTCTTGTCACATGCATCATGGGGCTCGGACCGACTGTGTCTGCTGCGTATCTATCACTCAGTCATTCGCTCCCAGCTTGATTATGGTTGTATTGTCTATAACTCTGCTCGGGCATCAGTTCTAAAGATGTTAGATCCTATTCATCATCAAGGACTGCGACTGGCTATTGGTGCATTTCATACCTCCCCAGTGCTTAGCCTTTACGCGGAAGCAAACGAATTGTCCCTTGAGTATAGGAGGTTTTCCCTGGGTTTTATGTACTCTGTCAGGGTTCGCTCGGTCGCGGAGCACCCCGTTCGAGATAATATTGAGACGATCAAGTTCCAACGCACATTTGAAAACAAACCTTCCACAGTCCCCCCTTTTTCTATGAGGAATAATACTGCAGCACAATCCGTTGGGATGGATGCAAAGCCTCAGTTGGTCCAATACCCTCCGGAAATAGCTCCATGGAACAACTGCCAGATACATTGCGACCTTACACTGACCAAGTATAACAAAAAGAATGTTCCACAGGAAGTCATAAGGCAGAACTTCTTTGAGCTTCAGACCAAATATCACAAGTATGCCAGTTTTTATACAGACGGGACAAAAAAAGACTCCGTAGTAGGCTGTGCTATGGTGGGACCATCGGTAAATCAGGTGAAGAGAATAAATTCAAAAGCCTCTATACTAACAGCAGAGCTTTATGGTTTGTTGTTAGCTGTTGATTACATAATCAAAAAACGCCTTTCTCACGCTGTAATCTACACCGACTCTTTAAGCTCTCTGAAGGCTGTCGCATCAATGAACCGTGTAAAAAACCCACTGGTTTCTGAGTTAAAGTACAAGATAATCCTGGCTGCAACGAAAAATTTTGACATAGTCTTATGCTGGGTTCCTAGCCATGTTGGCATTCCTGGAAATGAAGCAGCTGATAGTGCAGCCAGTTCTGCTAATGATAGAGAAATTGACACACACCAAATACCCTACAAAGATTACCACAATTATCTGAAACGTTGCATCAAAGCAAAGTGGCAGCTGCAGTGGAACGGCGAAACCGGCAACAAACTACATGCAATCAAACCTCTTCTAGGCGAGTGGGAGAGCGCCCGACATCGGGAGCGCTTTTACGAAGTCGTACTGTGTAGGCTACGAATCGGTCATACTCGTCTTACACATGGACACCTCTTGAGCGGGGAGGAGGCCCCTGAATGTGTGCACTGCAACCTACCTCTAAGTATTATGCACATACTCATTGAATGCCCTATGTATGACCAATGCCGGTATAAACACTACTCACTGCTTTATAAAGAACACATTCCACTACACCTTGCCTTACTACTAGGTGACGAACCGCTCATTCCATATAGTTGTGTTTTTAATTTCCTCACAGATATCGGCCTTCTACACCGACTGTGATTTTACTTTCTATCCTAAACTCATTGTCATATTGTTTACACTTATACACATTCATGTTCATGGTTTTATCATACATTTCGCTACAATAGCTCTTTCCTCTTCTTAAACCCGAATTGCAATAGTATAAGCTTGGCGCAATATAGCCTTAGTTGCTGATGCGCCAAAAAACCCCAATCAATCAATCAATCAATCAATCAATTTCGCTCAAACGCGAGTACAGAGCTTCCAAAGAAACACCTTCGACAATCATTCGTACGTATTTTATTAAGACCATAGATACCATCGGCCTTTCTTGCACGGCACGTAGTTTTCGCAATGTCCAGAGAGTGGTGCAATAAACTCGTGCGTAAACTCGTGGTCCGTGTTGACGCACACTTGTCGAGAGAGTCTTCGCAGGTCTCTTCGGTACGCGAGAATGTCCTTCTCCAACTTGTCTCGCTGCACGTTGTCCGGGTCGAAAGACGCACTCAACTGGTCTCGAATGTTGCGCAGCATGTCGTTCCGGATCTCGCCTCGAATCCAGTCGAGATGCCCGTCAACGATGTCGTAGACACCGACGCCCACCTTTATGCAATAGAGAAGAATCTCGACGAGAATCCACTCGGTGGCCTTGGGCATTCTCCAAAAGTGCAACACCAGCTCGCGCGTGTCTGCGTCCGACAGTCCGTGCAATCTTTCGTACAATTCCATGAGGTTTGAGACGATTGTCGGAGTAAAATATATGCCCAGCTTCTCCATGGCAATCTCCACTTCTCTAACGTAGGTGTCATATTCGTCCGAAGAGGGAGGTATCGGCGCAGTCATAAAGTTTTTCAGCACTCCTGCGTCGAACTTGTCCCTTCCACCAGTCCACAGGTTGTATCTCGTTTGAAATTCTTCTACCGACGGTAGAGTATTGGCGTATTCAATCACGCACCATTCGAGTATAGTCTTGTCAGACAGTCCCCGCTTGTCCAGTGGAAGAGTAGCGACTCGTACTGGAGTCTGGTCGGCCGAAACGGGATCGCTGTTGACCGAAGCAGCTGGTGTAGGAGCAGTCTCGCACGTGCACGATTCGAGTATAGGCTTGTCGGACGATCCCCGCTTGTCCGATGGAACAGTAGCGACTCGTGTTGGAGCCTGGTCGGTCGAAACGGGATCGCTGTTGACTGAAGCAGCTGGTGTAGGAGCAATAGTAGCGTCGCGAATCGTGCAATACCAGTAAGCGTAGCCCTGTCGGCTAGCCGTGTATCTGTGTTCGCGCAGATACGTGTGCAAACTGAGGATGTGCACTTTCATAGACGACCGTTCAAAAACGAGTTTATCTCGAGCAAAGATTTCTTCGTGTCTTTGAAGGTGGACGACTCGTCTTCGCAGACCTGGACCCAATGCGATAAATCGCTCCAAACGTCGGGTCTAAAATACCTACTGTCGAGCAATAGGACGGCCCCCCAGTCGTTCACGTGAAGTACGCAGCGTCCCACGGACTGGTTAACCGCTCGCATCGCCTGCGTTTTATACCATTCGTCCCCGTCTCCGCCCCTGCTGCGGTTAAACTCGACCTTGACCTTTACGTCCGGACTGTGATACGACGGATAGGGTAACCCCACGGATACGACGAGTCGAGCCAGCGAATCGGAGAAGTCGACGCCTTCGCTCATTTTGCCTCTCTGCACGACTAGAAACAGGGCCACCGTGCCGGGCTCTCCGTCAATCAACGCAGTCTTGTACCTATCGAACAAGAGGTCCGAGTTTGAGAATCTTCCAGAAACAGATGCCCGCCGACCACCTTGACCAACTTGGGCCATAGAGGCACTTTGCGCCACACGTCTGGACAGGTCTGAAGTAGCTTGTAAGAAGGGAAGAAGCACAGGACGCCAGCCTTTGTTTCGCCGACATTTTTCTTCAGGATCTTGGTCGACTCGTAGACGACGGAACCTACGGCCTTGAGTAGCTCTTCGTTCTGGCATGCGCTGTAATTCATGTAAAACTCTTTGTCACCCTTGAGCGAATGCGAGATCCTACGGACAAAGACGTGACGCTTGGACACGACGTGTTCCTTGGCGGACACCTTGTGAGTAAAGAAGACGCCCAATTCCTTTTCGTACGACGACATCGGACTCAGAGTCCCCGAGGCCAGGACGATCGAGTGCGTGCACGACGACACAGACTTCATGGCGTAACTCGAGTCCATGCAGGTCATCCTGAGTTCTGGCGACTCGCGACCCTGGACGACAAACATTGCAAAGCCTTGGGCACCAAATATCTCGGGGTAGTAAAACTGAGTGACGATGCGGTCAATCAACGTGGTGTTTAACCGGTCGGACAAAGGATGTCGAGACGTTAAGGGACTCACGACTTGACCCAGGCTCACGTTGTCCGTCTTGAGGTAGCGTCTCGTCTTGGCCAGGAGATCATCGCCGCGAACAATCGCATATCCAACGTCGTTCATCATGGCCAGGAGCCCCTCGAAGAATTCGCGAAGCTCGACGTAGCGAGAAAATCGTCGTGCGTACGTCTGAAGCTGCGATCTGGACACTTGTAGGGACATGGCGTCTCTACAAAACGTTTCAATGTTGTGCGCCTCGTCGAGGATCAGAATCGCGCCGCTGAGATTGATGTTGAGCGTGCTACGGACGAAGGGATCGATCAAGTAGTTGTAGGGAGCCAGCACTATTTTCGACCTGGCTACGTAGTACTGTTCGTTGACGTAGTAGGGGCAGATATCGTTTGCAGCACAACTCTCCACCAAGTCCTCGATGTCCCTAACGTCGGGCAAACGCGTCTCTGGTCCATGCTGCTCTTTCCAATTGCGGTAGAATCGGCACGTCGACGAGGCCCTGTGTTGACTGCAGAGTTGGGGCACGTTACCGCTGTGGACTTCCCGTTCCAAGAGGCAGACTCGGTCCTTGCCGACGAGACGAGAAATGTGCGCGGCGTCTCCGATGAACGCCTTGGCCACCGCTACCATTTGGTCGAGCTGTTGGTGCGTTCTAGAGCAGAGGTAGATTTTGCCGCTGGGTCGTGTCGTTATCCATTCGCGAACGGCTCCGAGCATGGCCATTGTCTTGCCCGATCCGGTAGGAGCTTCTATCATGACGTTGGCTTTTTCTCCGAATCCGCGCAACATTGTTTCAAAGACGTCCACTTGTACGGGGTAAGGTATCCGGTCGCCCGGTAGTACGAGCCGGTAGCGGGGCGCCTCTTCCATACCCGCCAACGTTCGTTTTTGAAACGATTATACCGATCGTTCGTCTCGTCTTCGGAACTATAAATAGTCTGAGCGGAGTGGTTGACCTCGTCGTCCGTAATCTCTCCCTCCTCTTTTTCATCATCGCCATCGTTCCATTCGTCTAACACTATCCATTCTTCTTCTTCTTCTTCTTCTTCGACCTTGGTCATATCTACGTCGTTACTCATGCTTACGCGAGGAGATTGAGACGAAAACTCAACGTGCACGGTTTTTTTTAATTTTTATTGCCCAAACAAAGGATACCTACACAACCAGTCAAGGTAATCGCAAACTCTAAAGTACCTCGGATCTACGCTCTCGTACAGGCTCATAAAATCTCGATGCACTCTGGCGTTTTTCACGGTGCGTGGCTCGACGACGCTGCAAACGACTCGATCGGGAGGCATGTCAAGCAGGTAACTCAACTTGCGAACGCAGGCCACAAAGAAGGTGAGAGAGTCGGTCAGAGTCAGACACAGAATCTTGCTGGCCTCTTCGTAGCGAAAGGCGGTCGCGTTCGCGTACACTCGACCGCTTTCGAACGTGTAGTCGCAGATCACCGAACCGAGGGCGCTTGCGTCGTCGCGGTAGAGGCGAAAGTCGATGTATCGACAGGCCGTCTTGAGGTACCAGACTTCCGTCCGAACCAGTCTCATGTAGACGTACACGTTGAGTCTGTATCTGTTTTTCGTGCGGCTATGGAATCGATGCAGCGCTGCGCCTACCGTCATGAAGGGGCGGCCGACGAGAAGGATCGTCGCCGCGTGCATAGTCTCCAAGGCGTAGAGAAAGTCGACAAAGACGCTGGAGTCGCCGGGATTTCGAAGTCCGGTCGCGATGGTGTTTGCCAGGTTGTCGTAGTATACGCGTAACATGATTGTAACGTCGATTTCAAATAAAAAACTGAAGTTTCCCGTTTATATCGTCAGAGGAGATGGATGGTGAGAATATGGCGCGCATAAAAAACGCCTCAAACAACGTGACCCGGCAAAAGAGGACGGTAGCCAAGAATAAGAAGAAGCAGCAATTGGACAGTCGACAGCCAACGACTGCCGTGGACGACGTTCTCTGTAAGAACGAATTGCGTCGATTGGCCAAGGAGATGGAGATCGATCGCATATCAGAGAACGTGTACGGTAACATGCAATTCGAGGTCGATAGATTCGTCACCGAGGTCGTCGGAAAGGCCGTCGTCTACGCCCAGATGCAACACCGCAAGACGCTTTTTGTAGATGACGTGACCCGAGCTCTTTCCGAATACAACATCAAAGATTACGGCTGACGTCCAGGACTAATACAAAACACCTAACAATGTCTAATAAGAATAACGTTATACTCAAGAAGCCTCCTTCTCAGTTTGAAGAACGACTCGAAAAGTCGATGGACGACTATTTGCGAGTGCACATTAAAGACTTGTACGATAGAGCCGGGGCGCACACGGGGTACAGGACCGACAGAGAGATAATGAAAGCCGCGTACGATTACATCGTGGCCAAGTATCGCAACGTTATACTTGGTCTATTTAACGACGTGACCCGAATGAACGGCGTGATTAACGAATACACCGCGTTTCTTCTTCACTTTAAGAGGTCCGCCGAGCTCAAGGCCGAACACGAGAAGGTGGCCGTGCCAGCCTTAAAACACGTCATCGTCAGAATGTACAGAGATCAGAACAATCTACTCGGCAAGTTCCTGGCCACGGTGTACACGCGAGACAGACTGAAAGATGCCGGCGTCGAGGTGGTCATGAAGACCGAGGAAAAAAAGCTGTACGACGCCGACCTTCACGACGTAGACAGCCTGATCGAGACCTTTTACGACAACGGTCTGGACTATGTCGGCGTCGAGTCTTTAATTTCCAGCTACAACTCGAAGCTGAGGGGTGTCGGTACCAAGAGACGACTTTCGGACGACGCTAGACCGTCTCTTCGGGATAGCACGAACGAGTCGCCGTCGACTCCTCCTCCTCCTCCCCCTCCTCCTAAGGAAAGGACGCCCATCGAGAAGGAGTCGAGCGTCGCCCAAACATCAGCTCAGACTGCGGCGGAGGCGGCCAATAGACGGCGGTCGGACGACGCGATACCGTCTCATCGGGATTCGGCTCCTCCTAGGGAAACGACGCCCAAAGAGAAGGAGTCGGGCGTCGCCCAAACGTCCCCTCAGACTGCGGCGGAGGCGGCCAAGAGACGACGGTCGGACGACGCGATACCGTCTCTTCGAGATTCGGCTCTTCCTAAAGAAACGACGCGCAACGAAAAAGTGTCGGACGTCGCCAAGACGCCGTATCATACTGTTGCAGCGGAAGACGAAGGAAGCGGTTGGCTGTACGTCGTCGGTGGAGTTGCCGTCCTGGCCACAGCGGGAGTCGTGACTTACGCGGCAATGACCTATTATAGAAATAAACGCGCTAAAGGCGAAAACGTGTTTCTGTAGCTGAAATAAAAAAATGACCACCGACAATCTCTTGTTCAAACCTTTGAAAGCCATTCCCATAGGGTTTGAGGCAAGGTTGGAAAGTAGAGTCGACGACTACTTTAAAGATTTTTACTACGCGCTGTACTCTAACGCTGGTGTCGAAACTACCCGTTACAAAGACTACGGCGACACGGCCAATCGCGTGTTTGATTACATTGTGGCGAACCACGCTAACGACACTCGAACGGCGTTGTACGATCCGAAGCGAGCCATAGACTTGGTCTTTTCCTACACACTCTATCTCAAGAGCATTCAGTCCAAGGTCAATTCGCTGGCCAGCGAGAAATACAAGCCCGGGTTTCTGCGCAACGTAGTCATCCCGGCCCTCAAACACTTGATCTACAGAATGTATAAGGACCCAAACAACGTCCTGGGCGAATTCATGTACACAGTCAGGACCAGGGACGTGATAAAGCAGTACCCCGAGGCGTTGGGCGTGGAATTTGCTGGCGACGACATGCTTAGTAATTTGTACGACTTGGACGTGTACGACCTAGATGCCGTGGACAAGTACTTGTACGGCATTAGCGGCAGAATGTACTACGACGTTAAAACCAATACGTTTAAAAAGTACAACTCTGTGCTCGAGCGATACCAGTCCCAGATCTGGCAGGATTCCGTTCTAAAGTTTAAGCGACTCTTCGAAGAGTGGTGCAAGAAAGTCACGCGGCACTCTTCGTGGTCTAGCCAGCATCCAGCGTTCGATCCACTGCTCCGGGCCGTTTTCGATGCCGCGGGCACGCCGCAGTGGGACGCGGCGCTCGTTCGCTGGGTCGCCGCCGAGGAAGGTCAGACTCTTCGCATTTACGCCGAGTTGAAAGCCAAGGTTGAATATGCCCAGACCTTTATCGACGAAAAGTTTTCTCCGGAACTCTTGAAAGCCGTTGGCGAAATCGCAAAGATTGACAACGTCAAGCGGTTCGTCTTTCTCTCCGCACCTACGCTGTCGCCGACCGAGTTGCAGGCCATACTAGACGCGTTCGAAAAGATTTTGAAGAAATACACGGAGCACAAACATAGGGACGCGCTCGTCTGGGCGGTGACCCATCCGGCCGCGCACAAAGTCTGCGAAGAGGAAGAGACGAGGGACTTGTTTAACAAGATTAAATCTGACGAGTATTTGCAGGACGGTAGCGCCTTCATAACGTCACTATTGGCACATTACGCCAAGTTTCCGAGCCTAGAGGATCTCCTGAGAGAATTTGCTAGGGACCTCGGTGCCGTTCGCAAGGACGCCGTCTTGAGAAAGCGCTGGCTGGAGAACGACGAGGAGGACATTAGGAAGGCCTTGATCGACGTCGACTGGAAGGTGCTCTACGAAAAATTTGAGCGATTGAAACCGCACCTGAACGAGTTACGACGACTACTCCTCGCTGGCGTGGGCGATAGCGGCGACGTCGATGAAAAAATGGAAAAATTGGGACCTTACTATCCTTTAATCGCGAGGCACGGCAAATGTATGTTTGACGAGGCCGACGCCGCGTCTCTGTTTGCTC